GATGGGATGACATACACTTGTGACCAGGCGTGGCTTATTGCTCTTTCCTGGGTGACCTGGGGGCTGTGTTCCCTGCAGTGCCAGGCTCTAGGCTGGGAGGAAGAGCGGTCAGGGCACTCAGATTCTGAGTCATCTTTTCTCCTGCCTCTGCACTCCCTGGCCCAGGGCTGACCCTCCCGCGAGCCCCGGATGTCAGCTGAGGGTGGCAGGAAACGCTGTGGTCAGCTGCCAGCAACAGTGAAGACCATTTTCAGGTCAAGCAGCAGCCCCAACCATCTTATGGCGTCATCCAGCAAGAAATGAGCATGAAGCCGGGAGTGGTGGCTCAGGCCTCTAATCCCGGTACCTGGGAGGCTGAGGCAGGAAGATCACTGCAAGTTTGAGTGCTACAGGGTGAGTTCAAGGTCAGCCTGCACTACACAACCAGATCCTGTCTCAAGAAAGAAAACAAAACAAGATAAAGATAAAAACAAACCAAAGTGCTGAGCATGTGTCCCAGGCCAGAATTTTTTTTTGTTTGTTTGTTTTTGGTACAAGGATCGAACTCTGGTCTTTGCGCTTGCAAAGCAGGCAGCAGACAGAGTGTATTGTTTTAAAGGTACAGTTGTACTGGGCTGCCCACACTGCCCTCAAAGTCATACTCCTCCTGCCTCAGCCTCCAAAGGGATCACAGGCAGGAACCACTGAGTCCAGCCCAGTGTGCATTTTTCCCGACCGCTCCCAGTCCTGGCTGACCTGTGTCTGGCTTCGGAATGGTCCGCCTGCGGGACAGGGATTCAAAGGGTCACAGTGTGGGCCAAGAACACAGCTCTGGAGAGGAGAGGGCCTGGCAGATGGCCTGGGTCAGGGTGTGGTCCCGGGTTTACGTAAGAGTTCTGTTCCCAGGGCGAGGGTCAGAGGGCACAAGCACACATGTGACACACCCTGCAGGGTTCAGAAAACAAGCGAGCGCCTGGCAGGAGGGTGGTGCATCTCCCTCCATGCGTCATGAAGCTTCTGCACGTCCCTGTTGCACGTGTGTGATTTCCAGTCTTTTTGGGGGTACCGGGGATCGAACTCTGGTCTTTGTGCTTTCAAGGCAGGAAGTGGCACCACTGAGCTCCATCCTCGGCCCTACGTGTGTGTATGTGTGTGTGTGTATTACATGTGTTTCCCCGTATGTCCGACTTGATTGCTTTGTTTTCTTTTGCTTTGCTTTGTTTTAGCAGCGATTGAATTCAAGGCCTTCACACTGAGCTGCCTTCTTACTCATTTTTTTTTTTAATAATTATTTTGCACAGCTATCTCCGCCTCAGCCTCCCAAGGGCTGGGATGACAGGCATGATGCTATCACAACCAAATTGGCGGGGGGGAAGGCTGAGATAAGGTCCAGCTGTGTAGTTCAGCCTGGCCTTGAACTCACCATGTAGTGGAAGCTGGCCTCAAACTTGTGGGGATCCTCCTGCCTCAGCCTTCCAAGTGCTGGGATGACAGGCATGCACCACCACTCCCCTGTGCTCTTTTTTCCTTTTGAGATAGGGTCTCACTAAATTGCCCAGGCTGGCCTTGAATTTGTGACCCTCTTGCCTCAGTCTCCCAGACTACTGGGATTGCAGGTATGCACATCCAGGAATCTAGCGTTGGTTATTTTTTATTTATTTGTTTATTTTATTTTATTTTGGTACCCGGGATCGAACTCGGGACCTTGCTTTGCGAGGCAGGCAGAAAAACCACTGAGCTAAATCCCTGGTCCCCTGGCTGACAATATTTATTATCCCACAGCTCATATTGGTCAGGAGTTCCCAGCTGGCAGTCTCCTGCAGGTGCTGACAGGGGTCAGGGGACACTACGGTCACCTCGGAGCTTGACTGGTGCCAGAGAATTGTTCTGTAGACAGCCACTCCCCGGGGGTGGTGGCACAGGCCTGTGATCCCAACCCTCAGGAGGATGGCCTGGAGTTGAAGGTCAGCCTGGGCTACATTGAGAGACCCTGTCTCAAAAATAAGTAAATAAATGCACCACTCATTCCAGCAGGCAATTTATGTACCCCAGGTAGTATTCCCAGTGATTACATATTCATTTAATCCTGGTAACTGTTAGGATCCTAGCTGCTGCTTTGTTTTTGTGGTTGTTCTTTGTTTGTTTTTTAGGCAGTGTCTCCCTTCGTAGCTGAGGCTGGCCCTGAACTCACTATGTAACCCAGCCTGCCCTTGAACTCGAGGTAGTCCTCCTGCCTCCTGCGCCACCATGCCCAGCTCTAGCTGCTGCTCTCCTTAGAAACAGCCCCTGTGCTGTCCGATTGGCACCTCTCCTCCTACCCTACCCGGTGCCCCCGGGGTTAGAGATGGAGGACCTCCCCCCAGGGCCCAGTCTGCTCCATCCCGCTGCCCAGAGCCTGCACCCAGCAGGAGTCAGCTTCCTCTTTTCCTTACTTTTTTCCAGCGTTTGGGTTTGGGGGGTGGAGTTTGTTGTTGTCGTCGTCGTTGGTTTTTTGGGTTTTTTTGTTTGCTTTTTGTTTTGGTACCGGGTATCGAACTCAGGTCCTTGTGCTTGTAAGGCAGGCGGTGGAAACACTGAGCTAAATCCCCAGCCCTTGTCGTCATTTTTTGAGTGGAGGTCTTTCTATGTCATAGTCTCAGCTGGCCTTGAACTTGCTACGTAGCTCAGCTTTACCCTCAAACTCATGATCCTCCTGCCTCAGCCTCCCAAGGGCTTCCAACACCCCTTTCCTTTTCCCATAACAGATTCAGCTCCTGGGCTCTCTTGCTAACTAATTATCTGAACCAGAGCAGCCTGGGGTCAAGGCCAGGGGTAGGGCATGAGGACATCCCCAACAGGAACACTTGGTCAGGGTGACTGTGCTAGGGCTGGGGCAGAGGACACCTTTAGGATAAAGTCCAGGAGAGCTCCAGGCTTGGGAGGATGGGAGCTTTTCATAAAGCGTACAAGGTGCCCCTGAGTCTTCTGTGGTTTTCTTGGTTTTTAAAGTTTTTGTTTTCCTTTTATCTGTACTGGGGATTGAACAGGCTTTTGCACTGAACTACATCTCTAGGCTTTTCTTCATTTTGACCATCTTCCAAGTTTCTAAGGTGCCCAGGCTGGGCTCACATATGTGACCCTCCTGCCTCAGCCTCCCAGAGTTCTGGAATTACAGGCATGCGCTGTCCCTCCCCCTAGCTTAGTTTCTGCCGGTTTTGGGCTGTCTGAAAAAAGACACCAAAGAAGTCCCTCAAAAGCAGCTCTGGAAAAGGCCATCAGGTGAAGAGGGTTTGGATCACTTCTGTTGGCGACGGAAGCCGGGGAAGGGGGGAAGCCCTCTGGGATAGCCTGGGACAGCGCTGTACCCTAGGTGAGAGGCTGAAGGGCCAGGGCGGTGGACAGGCCAGATGGTGGCCATCTGCACCGCCAGAGCGGGGGGTTTCCTCCCTGCCCTTCCGCTCTGCTGGGACCTCTGTCCTGGCGCGCGGCCGGCCTGGATGAGAGTTTGGGTGGCGGCGGGCACATCAGAGAGTCGGGCGTGAGCTTTCGAATTCCACAGGCTGCGCTGCTGGCCGCCAGCCCTGCTGAGTCAACTCGGTTCTTCTTGTGGTTTTTTTGTTTTCTTCCCCTTTCTTTCCCGGTTTTCTCAGCCCACCTGCCCCCGGGGTTCTTCCTGGCAGGCGCGTTTTCTGTGCCAGCCTCCGTGGGGAAGGGGAGGCCAAAAGGAAAGCTTGACTTTGTGGCGCGAACAGCAGGGTCAGCTGCAGAGTCTCGTCTAGGTCATCTTTGGTCCCGCGCTGTCCCCTTCAGGCTCGGAGTGCTGGGGTCTTTCCACCAGCCGGGGAGCTCCACGCAAGGCCTGAACTGGGACCAGAGGCCGCTTTGCTGAACGAATGAATGAGAGAGGCGCGGATAGGGTGGGAGAAGGAAGGCGCGGAAGGGAAACTCCTTTCCCCGTGCCTTAGGTACAGGCAACACCCGAACGTGAGGACCCCGGAGGTCGGAGCGGAGCCGGGCCCTACCCGGGCGCTGGCATCCTGAGCTGGAGAGCAGGCGGGTGGGCGCCAAGGGCGCCGGCGAGTCTCAGACACGTCCGCTGTGACAACCCGGGCGCTGGAAGTCGCGCACGACCCGGAGACGTCTCGGGTGTGTGCGCTGTGCG